TTCTTTTTGGAATATTCGATAGTTGTCCTTACTGTGATCTTTTATAGGGTAGTTTCACTCATGAATCATGGTATTTTTTTTATTTTTTATGTAATGATTAGTGCAATGCCCATCATTGAACACTTCTTCTCAAAAATTGACCTCTAATTTAAGATTTTCGCATAATTTTCATTTTATTGATTGTAGACAATTTACACAAGAATTTACACACATGGAATCCCAATTCATTTCAATATCTTCCTACAATAGTTCAATCAACCCCAACTATACTAATATTGGTTTTAAAATGTATAATGTGGTTTTTTTTGTTTTAACATCTAAGTTCAACTATTTCAACTTCACAAACATGAATCAATTTATTAATTCTCAATTCTAAATTTAATTAAAGTGCTCAAAGGGTATCAAGTTTCACATGGATATATATATCAATTAATCTAAGCATGTAACTTATTTGCATTTCATAAACTAACACATAGTTCCAAATATATGCATCATAACCAACAAGACTAATTAACCCACATAAGCAAACAACTTAAAAAGGAAAATTCTTTTGGAATTTTTTAAATTTTTCAAATTTTTCTACTTTTTCCAAATATAATAAAGTAATAAAAATTTACACAATTACAAAAAAAAAAAAAAAAAAAAAAAAATTCTATTTACACACCCCAAAACTTAATCAAACATTACTCTCAAGTCTCAAAATATTAACAAGTAAATAAAAAAAAGGGCAAAGAAGGGAATAAGAGACTTCCCAAAATTTTGTCTAATAGTGGAGGACAATTTAGAATGAAGGCGTCGAATCTAGATGTTCCACTTGGTTGCATCCTTACCCTTGTCAATTGTAACATTGCCTTGTCGAGTTCCTACAAAATAAAGGAAAATCAATCATAAATAATATGGAACATTTCATATTAAGCTCAAATAAATAACCTATAGAGCAATATGAGGGTGAAGATACCTAACATAGTACTACCTAGCCTGTTATCTAGAAAGCACAATAAATAAAATGGGAGAAGATTAGGTTACCCCCTAATAAGCACTTATTTATAGTCATTAGCTCAACTTTGGTAATTGTATCATGAAATTTTAAAGAAAGCTTTTGATCCATTGCTCGGTTTGCTTCTTTTTACTTTACTCCACTTTTCATTTATCCTCCAGACTTTTGCCTTACCCCTTTTAATGTAATATAACTTGTCGATTCCATCCGAATCAAACTTAACTATGTAGACTTCTACCTTCTCCTCGAGCTTAATCACAAATTCAATTGTTGGGCGATTAGTGAAGTCAGAAGAATATGTTTTACTTCCATCTTCATTAATTGACACTTCTTCATTTAGATCTTTAGTAATTACTTTGTCATCTTCTTTATTTTCTTCTTTGATAGTTGACATTTCTCTGAGTTGAATGGCTGATTCATAATTTAAATCCACGACCAATGACAAGTCTTTTCTTTCAACTTTTTCAAGTGGATTTTGTACCAACCTTCTATATTCCTCTAGTGTACGGCATCTTCCACGCACATTTTCTTTTCATCCAACTTGACAAGTTCATTATAATATTTTACAATTACTTTCTCATGTAGGATAGGACCATTTCCCAGTAGCACGATGCCCTCATCCCAATCTGTACATATATAATCTTTCACAAGCATGTAGTCTTCAACAAATTTATCAATTGCTTATTTTTGACATCTTAAATATTGTTTAAACCACAAAAAATTTAACCTAAGAGAGTTAGTGCATGCATACAAATAGTGCCTAGTATAATGCATTCCATAACAAAGCTCTCAACATATATCTCCTATAAGCATATCCACACAATCGATGTCAAAACTAATTATTGCAAAAGTTTTTTCTACTTTGCCAAACATTATTTTACACGATGTCTTGTTCGTGCCATAGTTCAAGTTCAATTTGTTGTCTGTTAGTGCTCAAACACTTGGATAACAACTCAACATCAGCTTCTTTCATGATCATTTCATCATTCAGGAGGCCAAAACCAAGAGGATGATTGGCAGGGGTGATCATTTAAAGGACTTATATGTTCCTGATGCAAAAGTTCTAAACTCGGTTTCAAACACTTTTGTTAATAACGTTTCAGTACATGTATGGCACAATAAGTCAACAAATTATTATGTACTTATGGTGTTTGGATGTCTGGCATTTGCTTCCATATTGTCTGCACAAAGAAACAAATTTCAGCATCGTGCTAGAGTATGTGTTTTTTTGGGATATCCATCTAGGGTCAAAGGACATAAACTTTATGATGTAGTTTCAAAGCAGATATCACGAGATGTCACATTTCATGAAACAATATTTCCCTTTTATGCTGTTATTTGAGATGATCAACTTACAGATCCCTTTCATGACTTAGTTCTACTAGTCCCATCTTTGTTCATTCCTCAAGTTATCAGTGCTGAATCAATTGAACATATCACTGACTCTATTTCACCTGTTGAAAAGCATACATCTTCCCAAGAAGACACATCTCGTGACCTTCAACCTACTAGAGACATCCCTATTCAAAATAATATTGAACAGTCTAATGTCTTACCAATTCTTACTACAACAACCAATGTTAGAAAATCACACAGAATTAGTAAACCTCCAAAATATCTCAAAGATTTTCACTGCAACATGATTTCTCAAAATTCCAACCTCTTTTAAATAACCCTACAACATTAACCACTTTGTATCGTATGATAAGTTATCTCCCAATCATCGACACTTCATATTGAATGTGTCATCCCAAATTGAACCACAATTTTATCATCAAGCTATAAAATACCCTTAGTGGCGTGAAGCTATGAAGTTGATGCTATGGAACTTAACCATACATGGTCTGTGGTTCCTTTACCAAATGGTAAACATTTTGTGGGTTGCTAGTGGATATACAAGATAAAATACAACTTAGATGCTTCAGTTGAAAGACACAAAGCACGCCTTATTACCGAAGGCTACACACAACAAGAGGGCCTCAACTATTTTGATACATTTTTTCCAATGGCAAAGATAGTAACTGTTAAAGTGCTGCTAGCTCTTGCTGCTTACCAAAATTGGCATTTAATTCAACTAGATGTCAATAATGCCTTCTTGAATGGAGACTTGTTCGAGGAAGTATACATGGATCTTCCTCTTGGTTATAAAGTTGTGCCAAAGGGAGAGAAGTTGGTGTGTAAATTGCACAAGTCCATATATGGACTCAAACAAGCATCACGACAATGGAATTGAAAGTTTTCACAAGTTCTAATTCACTTTGGATTTGTCCAATCCAATATTGAATATTCATTATTTACCAAAGGATCTGGGAATAACTTTGTGGCACTATAGGTATATGTTGATGATATTGTCATTAGTGGTCCTAATTCTCAGATCATTGACTCTTTAAAAATATTCTTATACTCTCAATTCAAATTAAAAGATTTGGGTTATTTAAAATATTTCTTGGGCATTGTAATTGCTCGCTCAAAATCAAGCATTGTTATTTTTCAACGGCATTACACTTTACAATTGCTTGAAGATGCTGGCTACTTGGATTGCAAACCAGTTGATACACCTATGGATCCAAAGGCATATCTTAGCATACATGAAGGGGACCTATTGCCGGATGCTTCGCACTACAGACGGCTGATTGGGAAGTCGATCTATTTGACATTATCTAGAGCTAACATCACATATGTTGTTCATAAATTGAGCCAATTTCTTGCTCAACCTTGATTGCCATACCTAAAAGTAGTACACTACCTTCTTCGTTACCTGAAGAACAACCCCGGTCAAGGTCTATTTTTTTCAGCATCACCTTCTTCACCTATCAAACTACAAGCTTTTTCAGATGCTAATTGGGGTTTTTGCATTGACACAAGGAAGTCTACTACTGGTTTTTGCATATTCATTGGAGATTCACTAATTTCTTAAAAAGCCAAAAGACAATCTACAGTTCCCCGATCATTATTTGAGGTAGAATTTCTTGCACTTGCTGCCACCATTAGTGAAATTACTTGGATCACTCAATTGTTAAAAGAATTTCAGACTATTGAGGCATCTCCTGCTATCCTTTTCTGTGACAATCAAGTGGAGATTCAAATTGCTACTAATCTTACCTTCCATGAAAGAACTAAACATATCGAAATTGACTGTCATTTCATCCAAGACAACATTACAGCTGGAATAGTTAAACTTCTTCCAATCCAATCACGACACCAACTAGCTAATGTTTTCACTAAACCACTTCATGCTTCTGTCCTTAATCCTTTGTTATCCAAGATGTCTGTCAAAAACATTTACAATACATCTTGAGAGGGAGTATTAGAGCTGTAGATATAAAATGTGTACATATAGTTGGTTAATTATGTTAGTTAGTCCTGTTAGTTAGTCAATCAGTTGGAAATTTAGTTTGTAGCCAACTGGATATTCTTGAATGCTATTTATATAGCTCGCTTGTATTGCATTTTCTGTAAGATTGGATGAATCAAGAATATACAGTTTACATTTCAATTCTAAATCTAATAGAAACTACTAGAAAACATGCATAAAGGGAACAGTTCATAGATATCCAACAAAAATAAATAAATTGAACATTCTCCCAAGGATGCCAAAGAATGAGTGAATGTGATCTCCCAAGAATGGGAAATCATAGAATGGTACGTAAAGGTTTCTATTGCTTACATCTCATGTAACTAACTATTCCTGATTATTTCTGTCTAAATATGTTAATTGGTAGATAAAAAGAAAGATCTGTGACTAGAAATATATTGTCCAATGTGCACTTTATTCCCATTCAAACCTAAGAACACATTTTTTTCCCCGTAAAATGCTACAAAGTCAAGTAGTAATTAAAGAGGTGTTTCTTCTTTCTTCTGTTAGAGAATTAATGCCAACACCAATAAAGAAGCAACAAACTCCATGCCAAGCTGTCTAATGCTGTGTAAAAACATCCCTTAAGAAAATTAGAGAAACTCTCTTTGCTTTATACTGTTCTTGAGATCTTCATCCGAGACAAGATTATACACCTGTACATATAGCTCCTGAAAGCCAACAACACAAATAAACTATGTTAGGTGCTGAGAAATCAATCGAGAAAGAGTTTAACTTCAGAGGTCTTGTAAACTAAATGGCATGTTTATTCGGTAAGGGGGATTGCATAATTTGGACAGTAAGGAAGAAGAATAAGATAAAATATTGTTTATTCTACTCTCAAGTCTGACCCAATAGTATATACCAAAATGCACTAAAATTTTCATGCCAACTTTTTACTTTGCGTGCAATAAACAAGCTCCTGTTCCAAATGCCCAAAAGTGGGGGAGGGGGGATGAGAGAGAAACCTGACGACCAAGATGAGCAGCAAAACTTCCTTTCATTAATATGCTCAACATTGGCACCAATAAACCAGGAACCGACGCTGACATCATCATGGGCATAAGCACGAAGAACAGATCTGCCAACCAAAAGTAAACACTCAGTTTTCGCTTCCAGTGGTAGAGTGATTAAACTGCTCCAAGTATAACTCACCTATTGATTGACACGAATTTAGCCAAAGCCTTGGATATCACGAACATCTCACCTGAAGCATGCCTGAAGTAACTGTTGATGCACAAATCATGTCAGGCAACATAGAAATGATTAGGAGGAGAACAATGACAACAGTTTCTTGAATTATAACTGTCTTTTGATTGTCAAGCATGTCAGTATGCTAAGAGACTTCAAAAGTACTAAGAAAATTTGACTTGGAAAGTACAAAGAAAACTTGGACAAAATCACTTATAAAACAGTGTGTAACAAGAAAGTAAATTTAAATAGGAAAAAAAAACCCAGAATGCTTGGTGTAAGTGGAGAAAGAGAAACTAGATTTAACTTGAATAGATGATACAAAGTTGCAGAAAAATTTCCTTCCGTTAAGGATTAGCCACAAATTAAAAAATGAAAAAGCCACTGATACCGGAATTATTCAACATTAGAAGACTGAACTAAACATAAGATGCACATAAATATAGAATTGCTTACGTTTTACCATCTCCAAATTTCCACCAGTCTGGTTCATACCATTCCTCGAAGCTGCCAAGTTAAATCAGTGACAAGTCTCTTAATGAAGAATGATTAAAAATAAAATCAAAATACTATATACAATAGCTAATTTACAAACTATCTACGACCTAGTAGAGGTTTTGGCTACACTCACCTTTTGGAAAAAATTTCACCTGATTTCATACACCCAATATATACACGAGGCTGGTTCAAATGAGCAGCCAGGATATTTCCCAAGGCATCTGCACAGAAGGAATATTAATATTCTACAGAATGCTGCTTTTCACGATCTTAATATTTAGACTCTAGATTCAAATAGCAAAGCTGGGAAAAACTTATCAGAGTAGGTCAATGCTCAATCATATGTTTGATTAAACATAGATCATTTTTTTATTATTGGATAAAAGAGGGAAATGCCCATTTTCAGAATAGGGGGATTCTCTATAGAGCTTCATACTTTAATAAAAATATTGGGAGTGCAAGATCAGATCGACTACTCTACTACCATCATGCTGAAGGTCTTTCCTTCAATAGGACGGAAAACAAACAGCTTATTCATAATCTTAGAGGCCGTGCACCACTTCATTCAATTCCTCTGTCATAAAGAAAGGGTAGGAAATATTTTTTTATCATACACACCAATGTTTACATAGATGTCATCATTGAGTTTTGCATAGTAGTCAGCATCCCAGTTTTCTGCAGCATGAGCAAAAAAAATTTTTGTCTTGTTCGGTAGTTCCTTGGGTGCCTCTACATGGTTTTCCTGAGATAAAGTTTGAAGGAAAAAAATCAAGCAATATAAACCTTACCCTACAAGAATAAAGCCAGTTACCTGAATGACAAGAGTACTCTTGCAAGATAGGGAAAGTTGTCTCCAAACTTGTCACATTTCCTTGTAATAGAAAGGAATAAATGATGACTTTTGAATTTGCTGAATGTTCAGTTTTACTTCTTGTTTACTTTACAATCGGTAAGATTGTGAAAATTGTAAATTTAATTTTTTTCTCCCAACACAAACACTCTGTTCAATATGAAGAAAATAAAAAAAATGAAATGAGGCATGCGTACTAACAAATGGCTCAGGTCGACAAGCTTACAAGGATAAAAAAATCATTGGTTTGTTTGTTTTCACTGTCAATACTCCGGTCCAAGCTGTCTCCTCGATTAGAACTGAGATTAACCATAATCAGCTCAAAAGCATTATGGTACTAATCTCGAACATATGAAATTTGAGAGATACACCTCAGGAAAAGCATACCTTCTACCGATGACAAATCGAACAATGATGCCCTTATGGTCCTCCATCTTTTTCAAAGCTGAACCTGCATGTGGAATCCTATGACAATGATGAGGTTGTTCCAACAAGAATAAACACGAGTAAACTTGAAGAAATGAACCAAATTCAATAAACATCTAGAACACCTGCAAGAATAACAATAAAGATTGTACATATATAAAGAACGGATAAATGTAAAGCAGTTTGAATGGTTTGATATTACTTGTGGTGATCTGCTATATTGGGCATATCATTAATTATTAAGAGATGAGGCTAAGAGAATGTTTGGGTTGGCTTAAAAAGAAGATATCTATCTTAATGAGTAGAGAGAGAGAGAGAGCAAAGTTAGAATGTTTAGGAGAAGTTGTGGGGTCCACTTATTTTTAAGCAACATCATGACGACCAAATACCAAAATACCTTTTATGTTGAAATGGGAAGATGAAAAGTTGTAATTTACAAAGTAAAATGGTAAAAGCCTCGGTCAAACCAAATAATAAGCCAAAAAATATGTTGTGTGGTGCTCATTGCTTTCCTAAAGAATAAGCCATCTTTAGTAATAAGGCAACGCATTTGGGTGTTTTTTGGGCTTATGAGCAACTTTGACCAGCTTATAAGCCCACCGAAACATGCACTAAATAATAACAAATGGTAAGTATAACAGTAAGCCAGCCATTGAATTCCTTGATATTAGAATAACCAAACGCTTAAGTATGAGATATAAACACAAACATCAGAGAGCAATACTGACCAAAAGATTGGAATAGCAGAGTTGTCCACGGCCAATTAATTTTTTTTTACATTTCTCATATCCTGGATTGGCGGCAACTTGTCCAAAGCTTTATCCTTTTGTAAGTCTTCTCTGTTTGACCATGTCACATGAATAATTTATGTCTTTTAGACAGGAAATCTATACGATGTTTTTATCGCTTCTTATCTCATTCCAATTGTTTAAATGTGATTTTCCAACATGATTATGCAGCTGCAACCTTTTTTTGTCCTAATAATTACAAGTTCAGAAGAAAAAGGAGAATGTTCATCTCACTGGACTCTGATTAACCCCCATAGTGTGCAAGCAATGGAAGTTTCTGGTTCCATCCATAGATAGACTTATGATTAATTATTTATTTCCTTCTGTAAATTGTAGATTTTTACAGGATTCTAATATAAGAAGGGAGGAGGGAAAAGCTACCATATAACAGCCACACAATTCTCCTTATTCTGGTGTAGAGAAATCTTTACATAGAGATGCACAAACTTAGGCTTTGACATTGAATTTCAAATAGGAATTTTTCCAAGAGATCCTCTCCCCGATTTTTTCCTTTAATATTTCTTGAACTTTAAGTAAAAGAGCATTATGTCATATTTAAAGCAGAACCAATATGGTCATTTCAAGAAATAAAACATAGATGGAAGAAAATGTGATAATATACCAGTTCCCATCCATGCCTTGCGTATAGCATTTCTTTCATTCTTGCGTCCGAATCCTGTAAGTATTCCTATTACAACAAGTGGATTTGTCTTAGGAGTCTTATTCATCTCTGGTAAATACTTTGAAACAAAACCCTCCTGTCTGGCTGTAGCAAGTTCCATCTCCAAGGCTGCTAATTTGTTTAGCTGTTCCCTAATAGGCACAAAGTATTTGATTAAACTACACGAAAACACAAGAATGACCAGATGCTGAACTACTGAGAATGAACAACAAGATGAAGTTGATGTCACCTGCATCCTAAGATTTTCCATGAATCGTCAACTGAAATAACAGATTTTCCCTAAACATGAAACGAAAGATGTCAAGTTCACAGTGTGAATGTAATATATACCTGATGATTAATAGAAATGCAGGTGTCGGATATTGAAACATCTACCTACGATATCAACCTCATTTCTGGGTTTATGTTTGGGAAAAGAAGAGCAGGTATCAGAAACATTTCATTCTCATTGTAAATGGTCCATCATCAATTTCTAATTTATATAGCATATAGCCCAGCGGTTTAACTTGGCCATTGTTAAATGCTTATCTGGGATTTTGCAATCATTGCATTAAAGTCATCTAAGAAAATACTTCAACTACCAACTACTTCCACCAAAATTTTCACAGTGGTAGGTTTGCTTTATTTGATGGGATAATGGAATGTCAGTGTTTGGTGCACAGAATGCAAAACAGTTAATAGTTCTCGTCATGCCTGATTTGCTAGTTTTAGACTTGCTGGAATGAATATCTTTTGCTTGTTATATAGATCCAACTCCAAATAATAATCACCATATTTGCATAGTTTTAAGTTTTCTCACTCGTACAATTAAAGTGCTAAAGCGCGAAAGCATTGTTACCTGTCCGGTTATTCTATCAAGTTCCTTCGCTAAGTAAACCCTGTTTTCCGCATCCTGCCATAAACTGCATACACAAAAACATATTGAAGACATAGTATTACCTTTCTTCTGTAATTTTTTTCCTTAACAGAACAACTTTCTCATATTGTTTTCCTTCACCAGTAGTCTATAGAAAATTTCACATGCTCAATAAATGAAATTTAGTGAGGGCTTTTCAAACTTGAATCTCACTAAAAATTCCAAACAGCACGAAGCAGGTCAATTTATATATAAATAGTTGAGTTATGAATATTTCGAGACGCTAAAGTTTGAGAATAATGGAAATACGGTACTTCAGTGTTGCCTTCGATGTTGTATTTCTTTTACATAATGTAAATCTTATTTGTAAATATTTGTAACACAGTTAACTATTTTGCTATTCTATCCATAAAGCTGTTTTCCATTGTAAATACTTTTTTAGGAGAAAAATGTTGATGGTTTATAAGGGAGAAAGAAATTTCTGATGATTCAATTAGATCAAGCGCTCACATTATTTTATTTAAGATTAAGTGAGTATAAATTTCTCCATTATCCTTTCTTGATCCTCTTTTCTATTTCCATCTCTTTCCATCTGACTGTCTGCCTCAGTCATTTTGTATTACAATCTAATAGAAGATAATTAAATGCTAAAGATGAAGACCTAAACACACATACCTTTCATTTTCACTTGCATCTTTAATTCCCCATTCTCATTGTTCAAAAGCAAAAACCTCCATTCTCCGCTCAAAAAAATATCAAGCTTTCAAACATAAGAAAAAGATTAACTAAATAGATCTTCTTTTATGACATCACAGCCAAACTCCATAATCATAACAATGAACTTTTATCTTATCTATAATTACATCACCATTCAAAATCAATGAAGAATGCCAGTTACTGAATTAAAACCAAGTCAAATGCAACTACCTGATATTTTCATGCTTGGATCATAAATTATAAATAAATAAGTTCAGTTACGCGCAGAAATGTGAAAAACTAAAAATGCAGATGTGTAAATAAAACTTACCGGCCAGCAACGTACAAGCAAGCAAAGATGGCGAACATGGAGAGCATCAGAATCGAAATTCGGGATTGAAGCGACATTCCGAAGATTCGAATGCTCGATTTCCTACCCTGCATTTTCTTTTCCTGTCTCTAAACTTCAAATAAATTCAATTTTTTTTTTGTATCAGCCGATCTGAAAAAAGTAATCAGCGAAAAAAAGAATGGCACAATGATCAGCTTCAGCAGTTCAGTTCATCCAATTGAATCCGTGATTTTAATTTTGGATTCAAATTAGAAAACAAGTAAATAAATTGGAGAGAGAGAAGTGAAGAGACATTTCGGTTACGGTGGGCGCTCAAATATATAGAATTTGTATTAAAATTAAAAGTGTTCTTGAAGGAAAAAGGATAATTACAATTTATTAAGATGGTAATTAGGGTAAAAAGTGTTTATTGACTTTGAATACAATAAAAGGAGAAATATTTTTAAACCCATGATAATTACACTGTGGAAAATTTTCCGAGAAAGTCACTTAACTTATAGGTCTAGTTCATGTTGATCATCGAACTTTAATTTATCGCAGGCCGAATGATGCTTCTATATTTTATTTCAAATTTGATCCCTCGACTTATTTTTTTATATTTTATTTTGTTATTGTTTAAGATCAATACATAACTTTTACAAACCTGACAACACTCGTATTCTAGTCGGTGAAGTATTAAAATTCTACTTTTATTATTTATCTTGACGTAAAGAAAGATTTTGCCCATGAAATAAATTACTGTACATATCGTTTAATCAATTTGTGGATGGTAAATAGATTCCACGATCCCATCGAGTGTATAGATTCAATCAATTTTGACAACTCTTTATAACGAAATGGTCAAATAAAAAAAAAAATCGGTTGAGTAATAAAATTGAAACAATTGAAGTTGAATGATCAACTTAATACAAAAATTAGAATTAGATGACCTTAGTCAAATTTTCTTTATTTCAACTGGCAATCAGAATCAAATATTTAGCATCTCATAACGTTGGAAACAAATTTGCTTCAAATAATAAAGTCAAAGGTATCATTTAATGAATTTTAATAATTCCAACTTGAATTTTAATTAACTTTTTAGAATTTTAGGCTTCTCATTAACTCATAGATTTTTAAAGATTTTATTAATTAATAGGATTATATAATAAAAAAAAAAAAAACTACAAATACATAACACTATTAAAATGAAATAATAGAATTTATATTTATGATATAGCAATATTTTCTAAAAGCATTTCAAGGTACAAACTATTTCCTGAATTTAATCTACACATCATGCTCTTGTTTACACCTTATCTATACTCTCGAAGCATCTCATTTATCTGAATCCTGCAAAAATTGGAGTTTAGACACCAACAAATATTCATTAAGTTATGTGCACAAAATAAGTTGATTTCATATCATGTTTGGGACAACTTAGATTGGTTAAACATACTTTTTATCCACACATTTTGTAAGAATACTTCAAATTTACAAAGTTCATTAGAACCAATAAAAATCTGTACCATAGAATTTTATTAAAATCTTATGAATTATGTAAAATTCTACTCAAATTCATGAAATTCATAGAATACATTATTAATATTAAAAAATTCGTTAGAATTTGACACCCTTATAAAAGTACATTGTTTTGTTTCAAAAAAAGAAGAAGGGCAATTGACAAAGCTATACTCAACTAACTCATTCCAAAAGTACATACGAGACTTTTTTATTACAAAATAACGATACGTACTTAAATAATTATTGTCCACAATGGTTCTTTGCCAACCAAAAAGGGTCATATTGCATGTATGTGTCCATAAATGTTCGCATCAAGGTAGTCATGGCAACGAAATTAGCCGAGCCGAGCCGAGCCGAAACTCGAAGCTCGGGCTCGGCTTGGCTTCAGCCAAAAGGACTAAACTTTTTTTGGTCCGAGTCGACAAAAAGCTCGGCAAAAAAAAAAAAAATAGAGGCTCGGTCAGAGCTTTGGGCTCCAGCCTTAACGGGCAAAGTCGAGCCCGAGCTGAACCGAGCCGCTCGATTTTTTTTTTCTTCTGTTGCCATATCTACAACTGCTTGCAAGCAGCTAAAAATAGGTTTTTTCAAAAAAAAATTTTTTAAAAGCGCGCAGCTCGTCAAGCCGGCCCAAGCGACGCCCAAAATGGGGCTCAGCCCGAGCCCGAACCGTCGAGCTTTTTGTCATCCCTACATCAAGGCCACAAAAGTGCAATCAAATCATAAAACGCCTCGACCGTCGAAGAACAATCTAGAAGAAACACACACATGACCCAAACACTTGGATAAAATGACAATTGGAATCCTCGTCCAAACATCGTAAATAAAGTTTTCGGCTAGACATCGAGCATAAATGTCGTTTTCAATGTATAGTGATACGATCAGATCAACATAATTTTCCATTCCAACTCATCTGTTACATACCAAATTGCATGACAAGTCTCATGAAATCACAAAATTAAACAAGAATATTGAAATTTGGACTTAATCATGATTTAGATGAGAATGTCAACCTAAAAGTTAACAAAAAAATACCTAAAAATCGTCTATATAATGGGCCACTAACACAATAAAAGGGTTGAGAAACAAATGATTAAAAACAAAAGGTAGAAAAATCTTAAAGATCCAATTTTCCACTCTTAAAAGCCTCCTCGAATCATTTCAAAAAAATGAGGGTCGATACCCTTGAAAATCTTAACATTCTTCAATTGAAATGCCATTTTTCGACCTAAATATTGTTGAAAACTTCTTTTTCTTCCTTCAAACAGAAAGTTCACCTAAATACCTTAAAAAGGGACAAATCCCTTACAACATTTTGGTAGGAAAACTCTACTAAAATTATAAAATAATGTCATTTTTTGAGATCAACAAGTCCTTTTTTTATTACGAAAATATTTATGTGCATTCATAGCACGTTTTCATTATACTTTTTAGAACACGTGTAATACGATGTGTTGCACCCACCTCCACCACCAACATGACCATAACCTCCACCACAATCACCCAACCTATACCCCATCTCATCATTATCAAAATCACTCCCATATGTCGTTTTTAGTTTATTGTGATACAATCAAATCGATATAATCTTCTGTTCCAACTCATTTGTATACATACCAAATTGCATGACAAGTGTCATGAAATCACAAAATTAAACAAGAATATTGAAATTTGGACTTAATCATGAATTAGATGAGAATGTTAACCTAAAAACTAACAAAAAATACCTAAAAATCATCTATATATAAGGCCACTAACTCAATAAAAGGTTGAGAAACAAATGGTTAAATACAAAAGGAAGAAAAATTTTAAAGATCCAATCTTCCACTCTTAAAAGTCTCCTCGAATTATTGCAAAAATTAGGGTCGATACCTCAGAAAATCTTAACATTCTTCAATTGAAATGCCATTTTTCGACCAAAATATTGTCGAAAACTTTTTTCTTCCTTCAAATAGAAAGCTCATCCAAATACCTTAAAAATGGGAAATCCTTTACAAAATTTTGGAAGGAAAACTCTACTAAAATTATAAAATAATGTCAGCAAGTCCTTTTTTTTTTTTATTACGAAAATATTTATATGCACTTCATAGCACATTTTCATTATATTTTTTATAACACGTGTAACACGATGTGTTGCGCCTACCTCCACTACCAACATGACCATAACCTCTACCACAATCACCCAACCTAAACCCCATCTCACCATTATCAAAATCACTCATATATGCCGTTTTGAGTGTATCGTGATATAATCAGATCTACATAATCTTCTATTCCAACTCATTTGTATACATACCAAATTGCATGACAGGTGTCATGAAATCACAAAATTAAACGTGAATATTGTAATTTGGACTTAATCACGACTTAGATGAGAATGTCAAGCTAAAAAAATGAGAAAAAATACCTAAAATCGTCTATATATAGGGCCACTAACACAATAAAAGGGTTGAAAAACAAATGGTTAAAAGCAAAAAGAAGAAGAATCTTAAAGGTCCAATCTTCCACTCTTAAAAGTCTCCTTGAATCATTGCAAAGTCAAAAATCGTCCGCGCGATCAAATTGGAGATTAGTAGTTGAATGATAGTTTGATTGCATATATTGAGAATGATATATTTTAAAATATTGAAAATAATGTAATTATAGAACGTTATCAAAGTATGAGAATGCGTAGAAAGCAATTATAATAAGATTTTGTATGTTTTCATTTTTCACAACTTTTTTACAAATTTGATTATGCCAATAATTTAAAATGTCAGCATCCACCAATGATTAGGTGAACATGTCCCACTCCAAATGAATTTAATTATTTGACGTATAGTCGTGATATATTAGCGTTTTTATTTACCATAGTTCTTATTTTGTAGACACTAAAAGGACCTAATCAAACCCAATTAAACTAATCTCAAATAAACTAATCTTGACTTGATCAATTATTTATAAGTCAAGATAATTAATTATCTCATTTTGTTTCACTAAATAAACGAGATTGCACTATTAGTGTAATTAAAATTACTGAAATTGTATAATTATTAATTATATCATCTAACTTATTGTTCTTACATATTACCCTAGTCGATCGTTTCAAGTATCTTGAACAAGATTAAAATGACCAAAATGCCATTTTCAAATATAAAAAAAAAAATCTTCAAATTCAATATTTATCTTATAGTTCCATGTGATTACGTTACAATATCAATTCAACAATAAATGTCAAATTACTGAGCAAAAATTTAACTAATCACTAGAAAATTCTTTGAGATCACGATCGTGCCTATTAAATAGATGTCAAATTTCATATTTCGAATATATATACCCTATTGTTTCACTTTAATTTTCAAAGCACCGAGATATTTCTTAGCTTATTACTACCAAAGTATTTTTCGGGGCATCTACTAATCAAGATTCTGGACATAATTAGAACAATACTTCAGTCTTATTTATATATTTATTAAGTGCCTACGAATTACATAATATAGATTAAAACAAATATGTTTTGCAACAATTACTTGTCAATTTAATGTTAGAACTTTATTAAAACTTAAACTTTATGATCTTGCCAAGATCTTCATGTCAAATCATCAAGAAACTGAATTAACGCGGAACATACCTTAATCAATTGATTTCTGACTTGATTAATGAATCTTGAATCTGGATCTGTAAATCTTCAGTTTGGTTGCTTCAAATCTCCATCATAATTCCTGATTGTGGGTTTTATGGATCTTC